TTTTTTTTAAGGGGCCCAGTGCCCAAGGCTGATATTATCAACAAGAAATGTTTTGAGGCCGGGGTCCTCACAATCTACCCGGAGTAACTGAACCCGAAAGTTGCTGAGAACCGGGCTCAGCATCCCTCATGTGTTGATGAAAATGATCATGATACTACTGGTAATGGTTATGAATTTATGAAAGACTATGTCAGCTATTCTAGACTCCTGAACCTAAGATAACTCCTAGCTATCCTTGCACCGGGGTATACTTACTCAAGAACTGTACCAACCAGACCAACGTCACCCATAGCTGATCTCTTCTCGCCACTAAGTAGCCCCCCCCAGTTCACCACTGAATTGCCTTCCTCCCTCGACAAAACCCAGATCTCTCTACAAGACCTCATTCTCCTGCAATTTGCAGGTTACAGGGCAACGCCCGAGCTCCGGCCAGCATTGTTCTGGCATCGGCAAAACAGGGGCACAAAACAGAACAACTTTGTGGATGTCGATCCGAGTGTGACCCTCTCTGAACTCCTACACCCGTGATGTAAGTAAAAACTAAGGGTTACCTAAGATCCAGAACCAAAAAAATATTGTATGACATAATTGGAATGAAGCACGGAAGTCAACCGCCGAGGGCCTAACAAATGCTTCACAACCTCAAGCTCCCTAAACAACCCTTTAAAGTTTGATCTTAGGCAAAGAACTAAAATAAATAAACAAACGAATAATTTAATGAATAAATAAAATTGTGATCGGCGCTCCCACAGATAGAAACCATTTTCGCGTGGTTTCCCCTCGCCTCTTCTATCCTTGAGTAAGCAGCCACTCACTCATTCTCCCACTCACCTGCACACTGCCACATGCATGTGTCCTCACACTCCCGTACTCTCAATCTCTCAAGAAGGAACAAGGGGAATTTATCAAAGCGGTCAGGCACAATCCCACTTATCCCAGCAAGACCGCGCAAAGCCAACAAGACATTACGTAAACACGAGCCCTCTGCTATTCCCTCTCTTCTCCTCTTCTCTCTTTCACTTGCTCGTAAGTTCTCCCTCTCGCACATACACACACACACGTTCAGATCACACACAGTCTGCTCTCTCTCCCTCTCCCTCTCTCTTTCTCTCTTTCGGACCGGCGAGGGCAATCAAAGGGGAAAAAAAAAAAAAAAATCTCACATCGTGGTGTACCCACACTCTGGTCTTTCCACACTTGGCCTCGTCCCGTGACCGTACTGCAGAGTGAAAGGAAACGGAAAGAAAAGGAAAAACAAAAAGGGAAAAAAAGAAAAATAAATATTCAAAGTAAAATAGATGTTGAATGACCGATACCTCTGAAGCTCAGACTGGTGGTGAACGGAGAGCACCGATCGGGGCTGGTTGGAAGCACACAGATTATCTGTTGGTGCCTGATTGACTGCTTGCTGTTTTGAGGAAGGGACTGACCCCGCCAACTGTGGGAAGGCTTGATTGCCAGGTTTCCAAAAAGGGTCGTTCTCGTCAACAACGAGACTGCTTGATTGGTTGTTCACTGAAGAGCACCGTTCCCGCTAGCAGCGCGATCACCTGATTAATCGCACTGAAGAGTACCATTCCCGCTAGCAGCGGGGTTGCCAGATCGGTGATTCACTGGCGAGCACCATTCGCGCTAGCAGCGGGATCACCTGATTGGTCACACTGAAGAGTATCGTTCCTTTTAGCAGCGGGATCTCCTGATTGGTCGGGCTGAAGAGTATCTTTCCGCTAGCAGTGGGGTTGCCAGATTGGTAATTCAATGGCGTGTACCATTCCTGCTAGCAGCGGGATCACCTGATTGGTCACACTAAAGAGTACCGTTCCCGCTGAAGAGTATCCTTCCGCTAGCAGCGGGGTTGCCAGATTGGTAATTCACTGGCGAGCACTGTTCCCGCTGACTCCCTCACCCTTGTGGACGGCGTACGCCTAGCACGTCCGAGAAAATGTCCCCTTTCCTCTTCACCAGTCTGGTCTATATCCCCGTAGTCCAGGAGCCTGTGGGCCTCAAGGGGGCACTGGGACAGCACCTGAGGTTGAGGGCCCCAAGGGCGTCGCCAAGTTTGGCCAGAGCCAACATACCAGATGTCGGCCACTCAATGCTGGCCCAACCAGGCGCTCAAATAAGAGAGGAACAGTCTGGTTGACTGCACGCCCCCAATAGTGCCAGTCACCGTTTCATAGGAAATCACGCAAATTCACAATACCGCACAAGTTTCCTCTCAGTGCTTCCAATACCGTCCCAATGACCGTAGCAAAATAAAGGGGTCGAACTGCTGTATGCCGCCCAACATCTTACCATTGTTCTGCCCGCGACCGTACCAGATTTTTACATGACCAGCTGCAGCGCGCTGTCACAGTACTGTACCAATGCCGAACCTGGAAAGTGTGAACAGACCGCAATGTGCGGCCCCTGTTCCGTACCTGCGCCGAACCAGTGTACCTGCGCCAACAACTAAAGAAGAGGTTTGTAAGAAGCTACAGTCTTCACCCGCATAAAACGCCCGCGGGTTAGTATAGCTGCATCTGGACTGAGAGCAGCACCAAATGCAGCTATAATAACCTGGCGTTCTATTTGGGTGAAGACTGTAGTATTGGCCAACAACTAAACTAGAGGTTTGTAAGGAGGTATCGTCTTCACCCGAATAGTACATGCGGTCATTTTAGCTATATCTAGGCTGAAACTTGGATCAAATGCAGCTATAATAATGGGGCTTTCTATTCGGGTGAAGGTTGTAGTATAATTGGTGAAGAACTAATTTAAGAAGAAGAGATTTGTAAAGGAGCCCAGAGCTTGGTTAGAAGAAAATGGCTACTTTTTTTTTTTTTTTTTTTTTTCCAAGGCCTGTGTAGATCTATTAGGGGAGGTGATAAGAGCAACATTCCCTAGTAGACCTAGGATAGGTTGCTCTATCTATTAGAGGGGACTCCAAGCTGCACCTGCTGGAAACCGGGTCCAGCGTCCCTTTGATATTGTCCGGAAACAACATGAGTTTGAACGTAGAAGCCTGCCTCTCCAGCCCTTCTAAGCCGCCAAATAAATAGAAACATCCTAGTAGTTCTACCCTATAAACCAAAAGGAAGTGCGAAGCTGGAAAACTGATCATACCCTCCCCCTTACCCAACATACAACTTATAATCACATTCTAGCTCAGAGTGATCTTAACTTCACGTTACGTCCACACCAAACCATTGCAGATCAACCATTACAAGTTCTGAGGGAGGAAATAGGTCACAAAATACATCAGGCGATCTCAAGGAAGCTCCTAGTTGAAGCTCGAACCAGTTTTAGAAGAAGATATCATAGTTTCTCTCAAAACTTTCATCTCCTTCCCCTCCTTGCCACTTCACTTCCCCCAGTTTGAAACTTCCCCTTTCAACATTCCCCCAGCCAATTTGATTAAAATTTATCAAGTACCTTTTTGATATCTTGTTTTTGAATCATTGTTTTAATAATGGTGCTAGTTTTAGACCATTGGGCTCTAATTTCCATCTTGAAAAAAATGAATAATTATTTGATTGATTTCTTGACCATCCATTTTAACTTCTTTCCAGGAGAGAACACATCACCTGTACCACAATGCCCGTAGTACTGCCTTCCTTCCTAAATTGAAAAGATTATTCTGAAAAGCTGACATGTCCACCAATATTGGACTCCAATATCCTAGAAGCAGAGCTCTCCTTAGGGTCATTCCAAACATGTGAGTTTGGACCATATATAGTCTTATCTTTTCCAGAGTAGCATAGTTTTAGGACATTGCGAAAAAATATGTTAAATAGTTTCCGTGGTCTTCCTACTGGGAAAGGTCGAGACAAATGTTGGACACCAGTGTAGGGCCAAACCTCTTTGTTCGAGAGAAGAGTGATCAATGAGCCAATCATAAGTTGGCAGACACCTATGAACAATTTTCCACTGTACTGAGGCAAACTTTGTTGACCTTTCCTTCATGTTTTTGAATTATTTGACTAGAGAAAGCAAATTTGAATGAATGTTGAGTTGTTTGTACCATTGCTCCTCTATCATACAAGTGGCGTTAATTTTTGGATGGGGTAGACAATAAGAAGCCTTGAATGTTAGCGAAAACAAACTTTGGGGCTTACATCGTTTTCTAGTTTTCCAAATCCACCTTAATGGGTCTAGAGGAAGTTCGGGAATTGGTGAATGGGGGAAATAAACTCTTCATCTATCAATATTCATGGAGTAAAACACCCGAATTTTATACATTGCCAAATCAAGAAAAAAAAACATTAAGTTTTGATCTGATCGAGGGATTGAGTGGTCCCTACTAATTCTGCACAAATT